TATCCTTACTCTATAAGATGTTGTCAAATAAGTTAGGATCCCAAAACGTTTGCAGGGACGACACGAAACTCTCTCTAAAATTATGAATTGTACATTCTTTTTTCTCGGTCTTGTGTCGTACTCCTATTACCCACGTTTACCTTTCTTTCCTATTTTTTCGTTAGTTAGTGTTCTGGTCTCTATCTGCTTCTATCATTATTATTATAATATAATATCTCTAATTTGCTTGTGGCTGTGGTGCTCTCTCTGTGCGTCACTTGCTATACCTTTCTTCTCTCTTCTCTCCTGTCAGTTATGTGTATATAACTCTGTAAATGTGTGCAATGTTGTATCTTATCGTTGTATCTGTACCCCTGCCTACTCCTCTGTATCTCTATCTGTCCTACTGATTTATATATTTATCCTCTCCTCGTGATATGTCTTTATTTCTCGACTGTGTGTGTTTGGTGAAAATAAACTGCTCAGGTGTTACTAGTATACGTGTATGTACTTTGTTTGTGTGTGGGTGTTGTTTGCTCTGTTCTAGTTCTATAATATATCTACTACATGTGTATATATATTTGTGGAACTATTGTTATGAGATAGTAGTCACCAGGAAGTCGAAAGTCACGAAACGTTTATTATAAAGGAGTGTTTCACAAAAGACTTTATTTAGACTACTTACCGTTCGTTAAGACGCTGTATACGATTGAGGCACGAGAGTAGGTCCGACATCTATACGTCAATAATTGTTGTAGATTTTTTTTTTTCCTTTTTTTTACATTGAATTTTTTTTTTTAGGCGGAAAGGAAGTTGAAACGCACTGGGGGGACCACGGGGGACCGCGGGGGGGCCCCCCCACCCCGGGGTGGAAACTTTTTTGTGACTCAATCAATGTGTCATTCCCATTTATATCTTGGATAAATCGACGTCCGGACTAAGGTTTATTCCGATTGATGCAGACAACGAGGCCGACCGTGCAAAATTAACGAATTCCATTCACTGGGGTGCTACTTTGATAAGTCGCGTTTTGAACTTATATTAGATTGCCATAGACTGCAAAACCTATTATGAACGTAATGTTTAAAACTTACGGAAGTCCAAAGATTTTATATATTACATCCGCCCTAAAGCGAGCGCTTATGACCAGCATTCGAAATGACTACTTAATCTTTAGCAATATTGTATTGGGTCTCAGGTTGCATTCTCAAGGCTCGAGGAAGCCCCCCCCACTGTATTTGTAATGGCGAATTAAAGTAGAGACAGAGAGGCAGCAATATAGATCTCTATAACCAAAGAGGCAGTATAACAAAGATATGCGTTGTTGTTCGAAGGACAGGGCGCGCATGGTTCGAGCGGAAGTTATTTCGTAAAATTATTTTGTCCTTCAATTCGGATTTAATGGTAAATTCTGCATATATGGTTTGACGTTCGCTTCGTTGTTTTGTTACTTGTAGGGGAAGTCGAGATTGTCTTTGTTTAACCCAATAGAATGTATATTGGTACACCATTTATGTTGTCACCAGGTCGTTTCTAAGGTCCGTAAAAACGTACTTAAAATTCAATAACTAAAAAACCGAAATGAAATTAAATTTTTTGTGGAATCAGCTTCCAGTTTGTGTTCGGACGGCAGACACCCTATCCGTTTTTAAGAGTGCGCTTAAGACCTTCCTTTTTGATAAAGCTTATAGTTAGGGCTGATTAGATTCAGCCCCTAGTTTTGCTGATATAGGCTTAGTTTGTCGGGGGACATCTTACTTCTTCCTTCTCTCTGTCTATACCTGTGTACTCTCATGTTCCGATTAACCCAGCTTCCCCAAATGTCTTTCTTTTTGGTGTCTATATACGCCGGGATCCGGAGTCATGGATGATCCTGCGGTCCTGTGTCATGGATCGCGAGTCCTGGATCTTGAGTCGTGGCTGTGGTCCTGGATCATAAGTCCTGGATGGATATCCTCGTGGATTCATCTTCCTATTATACACACATGCATTTCCAAACATTTGGACTACCTATGTTGCAAATGTATTATCTTTTCAATTTACAAACGGCATCTATTGCACGTCTGTCCGTCCTGGGAGAGGGATCCCTCCTCTGTTGCTCTCCCTGAGGTTTCTCCCATTTTTCCCTTTAAACTGTGGGTTTTCTCTGGAAGTTTTTCCTTGTACGATGTGAGGGTCTAAGGACAGAGGGTGTCGTATTGTCGTATTGTCATACTGATATTCTGTACAAACTGTGAAGTCCACTGAGACAAATGTAACATTTGTGATATTGGGCTATATAAATAAACATTGATTGATTGATTGAACACTGGTCACTACAAATGCAGGGATGAGCCATTTAGCTAATACATTTGCCTAGTTGGAGATGACCAAAACAGGGGGGGAACCCAAAATGAATAGTTCAATTTCTGCCTGAGTCATGGAGGATAATAACTCAACAGACCACAACTGTCATGCAGCTCACAGTAATAGACTTACACATTGTTCCTGGATATTGACTAATCTTGTTTTTTTTTAGTAGCTTAGAATCTTGGTGGTTGAGTGTCCCAAGTGCAAAGCTATACACACAGTCTTGTAAATGTATGGTACATTTATTTGGAGCATCCTATTGAAATGACCTTGGCGTGGCACCGTTGCTGAACTCTATTGCATTTCAATCGAAGTATCCTTAAAGCTTTCCCTCTTTTCTTTTTGAAAAACCTATGCTTTTAGTTCAAGGATAGCCTAGAACGACAGAACCATTTTTCTTTGAAAATAAAGTATCTCTGGGGAACTAATCATTCATTTTCGTCAGTCATATAAAATGTTTTCCCCTTTAGGAATATCATTTCTAATTTGTAAATAAATGATAAATGTATTAAAATGCACACACTTGTTGCAGTATAGATGTACATAACACTAAGAAAATGTCTGTGTGCACTGCTTATTTTGCAGTTCTTGTTTGAGAACATTAACCTTTCAGAGTGTGTTTTTACTTCATCATGGTTCAATCGTCTCTTTTGTAGCCTCCATTTGTACTTGCTCTTCCCTCTCTGACCTCTGCAGGTTTCAAAAAACAAGATGGTGATGAGCAAATGCCAAACTTGCAGCTTCCAAACGATAGTCCAAAAACCAATGGGTGACGGACAGCAATTATGGCAGATAATATGGTAATTTGTCATCTTTAATATAATCTCTGTATAAAGATTACATCGTTTTGTTATAAACTGCTCTTTAAGCAGCACATTGTGATAATCTACAATGGTAATATTGAATGCTAAATACAACCTTTTATGTAAAGCAGATACAAATAATTCCACTTCCCTGTTTATCACAAACAACAGAGCAATGATTTATAGGAATAATTGTCAGTACAATTGCACTTATCATTGGAAATGTGTGCACTGCTACTTTAACCAAACTTGCATTTAGAGAAGATCTGACCCACCCTGTGTTAAATCCTCAGTGTTCAATCAGGTTTACAATCGATAGCGTCTCCTCACTGAAGAGTGAGGATGTCTCTTTGCAAAATTAAAAGATCTCGTGATCCATTGAACACTTTTTAAGCATTTCTTTTGTTAAAGTAAGTAGATTTTCTTATAAATGGCGACCAAAATAAAATAGCCCCATTAGTTCAGTACTCTGAATTCCCCCTGACCGCAATTCTTTTTTGCAAACCATTCATGTAGCGGCTTACATATCCCCCCCACACGTCATCATGGCCGTTGTATTGTACACACATCAAGGACTTAGAACAGTCCTGCTCTGATGCTTGTACCAGCATAGCTTTTAGTCATTGAAGTGCAGCACAGACAAAAGCAGGGCTTGATTGAGTGGGTGGGTAGGTGGGCAGAACTGTTGGGTCTGCATGATGGGAAAATAAATACTGAATCTGGTGGTGATGAATGCCACCGCCTTACAGGATGTGAATCCTTGAGCCCAAACATTATTTCTTTCCCTGCATTCAGCCACACAAAAACGGCTAGCCAAGGAAGGACATATTTGTTATCAGCAAACTTCAGAGACAGGATAACATTCATGGGGAGAATCTTCTATAAAGCCATAGTTAAGATAAAGTATTTTGGCATGCTTTGACCAAACCACTGGACTAAAATTAGCTGGCTCATAGGATTTGGTATAGCATGCAGTGTCTTTATGTGCAGAATAATAGTTTCTAGAATATAAAATGGTACAAACAAGCCTTGCTCTTCTTATTAAATATAGCCTTTTAATGAGAAATAGATTATTATATGAAACATTCATTTGAAATAAGCTGATATAATGATCTCAACAGAACAGCAAAAAAGTACATCGGCAAGGTATTAGTTGTAAAAATCTTCAGACATATCCATGGACACATGTAAGCAACACTGTGGTAGCATAACGCCATACGAGTAAATGTGCTTGTTTCATGGACTTTGCAGTGGCTCAAAACTAAATATTTATGTACAGTATGCTTTGACAATATAAAACAGTCGTACATTGTCATGAATCTAATTAGATACACAAGACATGGGGGCCCTGTACTTTGTGCTGATGTACTCAAATAGAGGTTTTTTTTGAAGTAGTTTTTATATTCCTTTTCTTTACTCTTATATTTTATTATATTGTTACTGTAGCAGAGGGTTGTTACTGTAACAGAGTTCATATTTACAGATATATTGTACAACAGGGGACAAAGACAAAATCAACCATAACTTATAAAAGTCATCCTTGACCCTCGGTCTGGTGGCTGATTTCCCCACATGCACAAACTTCCTTGAAGGCGAAGTTCTCAAGAGGATATGGAAAGTGTATATTAGATCAACATTTACGGTCTCAAATCCTTAAGCTAATTCAGTGTCATTCGTCTGTGTTACATCTAAAAGGTTCCTCCAGCTCTAAATGCGTTAAAGGGATAGATAACAGGCACTTATAATAATCATAATAATAATAACTAACAACTCATTTGGATGGTCCAATGTTAGTGCTGAAAAATAAAGTCCACTATTTACTGCATCCCTATTGACTGCAGGCTTGTTAGGCTTAGCTTCAGTATGTTTAAATCAACTCCACAGTACGTTAGCTAAAAATGAATCCACAAGGAGGTACCGTTAGCATGCAAATGTTACAGTGGCAATGCTATAGATGCTAACATATTTAAGAAAGTGTAAAGTCTATCATGTTAACATCAGCATGCTAATAAGCTGGGCTTGATAAACTAAAATACCAAGCAGCTTTGAGACAGCTTGCAGTTACCATCCACACCCAGGCGGACATACCGATCACGATACAGTTTATTAAACTGGAGGTTAAACCGGTCCAATGCCCTCTCTGCTCCTGCTGTTTCTTATCTGATTGATTAAAGTATTGTACTGTGAGATTCATTTGAACCTGACCTGGCCACCACATTTGCAATAACCACTATTTTGGATATCGAAAAATGATTTTGCTGACCACTGAATCTCCTGAAATGTATTACATCTGTAGTGACTTAATAAGTGACTAAGCTGTTATTTATAAAGCACCTCTCAAGAGTTAAAAATGCTTCACAAAAAGACTGAAAACAGTAAATGAAAACATAAGGATCATCATGGCCACACACAGAAATACATGGTTCTGTTACTTACATCATGACAAAAATGCACATTTACGGACAACTATAAAAGTTGTCAATGCAGTAAAGTCTTCAGCTGACAAAGCTACCTACCATGGATGTTTCCTGTATTGTAACATGCCTCTGCTTACAGCTAACCACACAAGACTAGTCTCATCACAATGTAAAATGAAAATGGGTATTTAAAAGAACACAAAATGAAACACAAGAAAAGTACCAAAGCAACCAAACGAAAGCTACATCCATTGACTAACAGACATCAAAAATAAACAATGAAATAATTTGTAATATAACAGTATGCATTTTTAGGTGTTAGTCTTGCAACTTGGCTGGCAGCTTTTAAACCTGGAGATGTTTGAGAGCCATGACAGCAGCGACTTAATGTCTGCTTTTTTATTTTTAAGTTGAACCCATCAATGACCAGGACAGCAAGGTTTTATGACACGAGTGACCTTGCCTTTGTTGTTGTTAATAGCAGGTTAACGGATTGGATTTACACAAAGTCATAAGCAATATGATTCAGGATCGGATTACCCAAATAACATGTGACCAAACATTACATAGGTAGTGTTTCATATTTCAATTCGACGATTGAATGTTAAACACAGTCAGAGCTCTGTTGATGTTTCCCGCAACATGCAAAACAAAAAAATCTGACATTTGTACACAAGGTCATTAAAAGCTTACAGATGAAACACTGCCAAAAAGGTATTTTAAGATTTAATTTAACAATTTCTTTTTTTTCTTTTTCTTCTTCCTGTGGCACAACAGAGCAATTCAATGGCTTTACAACATGACCCTTTTCAACATAATATGCTTCCTCCTGTCATCTCCCTTTTGCTGTGCTCTTGTCTACAAACTGATAGAATAAAATAAAAACATACAAACCAAACATTTCCTTAAATGTATGTTCTTTTGTGAACGGGGATGGACTTAATGTCTACCTCAGGGAAGTGTATGGCTTTAGGTCGTCTTGCAAATGTGCCTGAATGATGAATGTTTACATTTTGCTCTTGGTGCGGAAAAGCTCCACGAATCAGCAGTCACAACATGTACATTTTGCAAAGCTGTACAAAATAGCATTGATTGTTAAATCTTCAGACCACAATATTGCACTCACGCACCAGGAGGTACTGCCTTGTGAAAAACACAGCTTGAATTTCAAACACGGGAAGAAGCGCTCCAAATGCAAGATTTTGCTTAGACTGGAGTCAATCTCAAATGACACATTCAATTAACGAACAGCAATAAGCATCAAGCCAAAATAAGGTATACGCACATTTGCACACGCGCACGCACACATACATTCATCCACATATATATGTACTGTATATATAAACAGCTGGCTTTTGTTATTTGACATGACTATCCATTACTGCCCTGCTGTGTGCCTTACGTATCAGAACAATGACAGAGTGCCTCATAACTCACAATGCAGATTTGCTGTGGGTTTGAAATGTAATAAAGTCTATAAGTAATGTGTTGACTACTTATTCACTAGGGCTATTTAATCCTTACCATGTATAAACATTTTTTAATATTAAACTCTCTGTAATGTCTGAAATACTTTGAACATTAGCTGAAATAAAAGGATATCTGGTCTGCCCTTGTGTTCCATTGTTATTCCTTTAAAAATGTTTTTGTCAGTAAAGAATGGCAGTTTCAGATAAAACCTTTGATCCCTCGGAGTAAAATCAAGGCCTCTTTTTCACCAGTACATAGATTTAATATTTCTTTTTTTTCTTCTTTTTTTTTTTAGATCTTTTTAGGGAATGACAGACATGCTGGGACAAATATGATACAGTCTTTATAGTGGTTCCATTAATCTTCTTTATCTTAATCTGAAATACTTTTCATCAGTGCCTTTTTCCTTTATCTCTTTAAGAATTATGCTTACAAAGTTAATATTACATCAAAAGGCAGAAAAGGTCCAAAAATGAAAAAAGAGAAAAAGAAAATTAAGATTAATATCCCCGCCTAGTTCATTTGTTGGGTGTTTCATGTTGCTGTCCTTCTGTGAATGTTACTATGTTCAGCAGAGTTTAGCAGTCAGATGATCTGATTGTTTTAGTATCTCTGTGCTGTACATGTCCAAGGCATGGTTTACTCGAATCATCTCGCTGTTGTTGAGCTTCAGCCTATGCTTGAGCATACAGGAGAAGAGGTCCAGCTGGGGTTTGCCAGGAGCAGATGGAGGGGCAAGGCGGTTAATCCGATCCCTTATGTCCAGCAACAGGAGCATGACTGATGAGGAGGAGTAGAACTGATTTCCCTGTGTGTACGACTGGTTAACCTGCTGCACAGCACTACGGAGCAGGTCGGCATTAAAGCGTAGGCTGTAGCCAAACACTTGGATATCAGATATTTTGATGTAGATCTGCCGCTTGTTGGGATCTCCAAGATCCACTGGACCCTGTCCCGTGTCATTGCGTAAGCCAGTTGGGATCTTAGCGCGGCTACGCAGGTAGATGTGCACCGTCTCAAAGAAGGTCTTCCACCGGTTGCCCAGCAGGAGAGTCCAGTTGAAGCACTGCGAGTTTTGTAGTCGTACCTTTTCCCAGCGTGGGTATCCATGTTCCCCAAAGGGCATGCTCCAGCCTTCTGAGTGGCTACCACTGAAGGGGTTGACATAAACAAAGAACATGGGGTCAATGCTGCTATTTCTCATCTGGCAGATCTTCATCGACAGACCGATAATCATGTGGAGGTAGTCCATCCGGTTTTTGTTACTCTTCAGGGTCAGGGACATGCGCTTACGCCATCTTGGGTCAAAGAAGGTTTCTAGTCGGATCTCATTGCTGATGAAAGTCGTGTGAATGTAGAGTCGGGAATCCATTTTCTGCAACAGGTATTTGAGTTCCAGGTCCTGAAAGTCCAGATCAGTTTCAAAGCTGATGAACTGCTCGCTACGTTCTGAATCCACGTTCTGGGGCTCACAGCGGCCACGGTACAACTTGTAGCCTTTGTTGCAGGAGCCACATTGTGAGATGTTGGCCAGGCTGCACATGGCGCAGCTGTTGTTGCCACCTATGACGCATGGGATGGGTCGTTGGCATAAGGTAACACCTGTGTGGCACACGCATGTCCTTTGGCTCTCCAGGAAGGTCCCCCAGAACCCGTTCTCATTACAGTAGAGGAAAGACTGGACCCTGTTCAACCACTGCATCACAGATCTAGAGAGAAAGGAGAAACAAAATATGGAGATAATCGTTAAAGGTCACATTTGAGAGCTTTAAGAGTTACAATATAAAGAAGACCTTTCATTCACTTATGTTCATTTTTACTATCAACAAATAAAGCTTGTGTTAAATTAGTTTCAATAGTTTGGTAATGCACTTGAAAGCATTACAAATAAAACCCCAAATTAAGTTAATTGGGATGCCTTACTTAGGCTTGTACTATGTAGTCAGTTCACTTAACTTTACTGAAATCAATGGATGCCAATAGTTAGAACAGATACAGTGGCAAATCCAAAACTCAATGATATGCTTATTAAATGTTTGGCAGCAATGTATACATGAAAACCATTGAGTCAGGATAGTATGGGAATAGGACAATTTCTTCCCTTCAAGGAGGGGGAGGAGTTGCGTTATTTCCCTCAGGTGGAAGGCATTACTTGCTATTCTTATCTTGTCTCTTATTTTCCCTTCAGGCATCTTTCCCTGTCATCTTGACAGCAATGGAACTTCTTTTCAGACTGTAGGAGGTGAATTCTGAATCTTGATTTTTCAGAGACGAGGTCTGGTCAAGGTTAACTTGACATGTTAATGAAGCCAAGGCTTAACTATGATGGATGGAATTGCATTCTCGGCAGGCCAGAAACCCCCCAAGCTTAACCCAAAATGAGCCCGGAACAAATCACCTATAGAGGACATTGCTTGATTCCACTAACTTTGGCGTCAAATTGAGGATGGCATGAAATGAGGATGAACATTAAGGAAACGAAAACATCAACTTTCAACGAGCTTACTCAAAAGCAAACATGTCCTTAATTCTGCCCCACATAAAACACATATAATGTCAAGACATTAAATTGTCCTTGATGGCCTGGAATTCAATAAAGTGCAATCCAAAATAGGTTGTGCAGTTGGTTTTAATGAATGATGTATTTATAATGATGATGAATCTCACTGATTCATATTTTGCCAATGACTAATATCTGACCTATGAAAATGTATTCACTTGCAATTTTTGTAGACATATTTTTTTTCTTTCCAAACTGTAACCCATCGGATCATGTCACTGACTGGTTTCCTGTGTGTTTATCCCATTGGAGATGTGAAATGTACCTTGTGTGGAGAAGTTATTTCTTGACAGTGTTTGCTTATGTGCACTAGCGTTCTCATGTCTGGTTTTGTCTCTTCCCCTAGAGATGAGGTGTCTTAATATCCTGGTGCAGGCAATGTATTTGTGATTTTTATATCACTTTCCATTTCCTCTCTGTCGTATTGCAGTGTTGCCTGGAGTGTCTTTAGAGAGATGAGTGTATCATGTTGGTTCCCTCCAGCGTGTGTTTGCTGTCCACTCCACTATGAATACAAAAGTAGCTACCTAGCAGAGATGTACTAATATACTGGTTTTACTGTTTTTTTGTGACACAATCTGATGGTAATAGATGTTATTTATCTAGCAAAATCTATTACCCTCATTACTGTGATTATAACTTCTTGTGAAGTGTCTCACAGTTTTATTTTGATTAGCTCTGATGGAAGCAGAACAGGCACAGCAGGGTCAGCTAACTAGGCTTCACATCTTTCTGTCTCCAGGTTCTAGGTACTCTGGTTTATTAAATTGTATGTTTATATGAGCTAGTCCACCTACTGAAGCACTGCCAGTTTATGGCTACAGTTTACATAACTGACACATAGGAAACTAGCCTCTTTAAAATTCAGAAAATAACATTTATTATCAGAGGTGAGCTTCATGTGTGCAGGATGTTGGAAAAAATGTTTCATTCACAAGTGAAAACACCCAAAGAAACCAAAATGTGCACGAAAACATGAATGAGGGTAATCCAAATTAAAATCGACAAATAGAAAGTTAAAGATTAACTTGTCTAGTCCTAGTTTGTCTCTAACAGCTTTTATTGGCAAATAAAATACTTTTTTTTGTTCATGTATTCTGCTTAATGACACATTTCAAAGTCAAAATCACTGTGGTGGAACTCATCACAGGAAAAAGTGACACAGACTAAAGGAATGAAGTTCAAAGACCAACAGCGCTGTATCTGGAGAACAAACTTGTTGTGAACCCTTCAAAAACGAAACAACTTATCATAGACTTCAAGAGAAACACTACACATCAACAAGGGCAGTATGGAAATAATTTCTGCTTTCAGGTTCTTTGCACATTGGTAAAATCGCTCTTGGTCTACCAACACCATTACAGTAAAGGTCTGGTCAAGAAGGCACAGCAGGGACTCCGCTTCCTGAGGATTTGAGCAAACCAGGAGATAACCTTCCACTGCTGCCCCATCGAGAGTGTGCTGGCGTACTGTATCACTAACCTCATCGGAGGAATTATTCAGCCTATTCTGCCTTAGTAGAGCAGCCGACATACTGAAAGAGCCATCCCACCCTGGGCACCATCTTTTTAATCTGCTTCCCTCTGGAAGATGCTTCAGCTCCATCAAATCATGGACACACAGATTCAAAAACAGCTCCTGCCACAGAGTCGTACGAGAACTGAACACTGTCAAACACTAACATTGACTGTTTTTCGACTTGTATACATTTTACATAAACTATTTATGCTATTATATTCATAAAAGTAATTCAACAAAGCTATAAAGGGCACATCAAGCCATTCGCAATACATGCTATTTTATTGGCCAAAAAGATTATCCTGTGGACATAACATGTGTTTATTCTAAAGAAAAACGTTAAGGTCGACACGTTAGGAAGCTAATGCCCACTGTATGTCTGTGTATAGGTAATTGGATCCTGATTTAAGAGATGGTATTTAAAGCGTAATTATTTGCCAATAATGATCAGATTTATTTTTCGACAGTTAACATGATTGTGAAACATTAGACATCTAATAATGCCAGATATACAAGACTTTTCAAAATTCTCATTACAATGTGCATACAAAACACATTGATTATGTTGGCTTTAATGTAAAACTTATCCTATTACCTTTTACTGGCTATGTATTATTACATTAGACAAAGGCACAGTCATAAAGATCCCTCATTTGAATTTATTTGCAATAACTGTTGAAATATCCTGTTTGAATTACTGAAAGATATGCCTCCCTCAATAAGCTATTTGAGAGCATCATGTGGCTAGTCTAATTTCTCTCTTATTTGTTTCTACAGCAATAGCTTACATCCCAATACATCCCAATGGATACTGTTTTGTTTTAATGAATTTGAGCACACTTTAGGTTTGTAATAATGCATCAAACAGGCCCTGGTGTTCAGATGACAACTGTCATAGCTTCCCCCCCCCCCCCNCTCTTATGCTGCAACACACAGTTGCACGGGGTGCAGAATAGTTTCCCCCCACTTTTTGCCCGGTCTTTAGTAGAAATTTTCGTTGGTAAATGAGCTCTATACAGTGTTGTTTACATTCTGTGATGCGCGAGCTGATGACGTCACGTCAAGACGAGTTAACTTTTTTTACTTCTCAACTTTGTGTGGAAAAATGCGGGGATTATGCGGCCTTTTGATAAATATGCGGCTTTTTAAAAATCTGCGCCATTTGGCTGATTATGCGGTAAATTCTGCGATCGCAGAATCGCGTTTTTCTGGAGGGTCTAGCTAATACAACAATGTTATTCAAATGAGTACTGAGCCACAGTGGGAATTTAATCGAGAAATCTTTTTGCGTTATCTGGCTTTAGTTTTATGATGCAATGTTTTCACATGCTCTATAGACAAAGACTGAGTTGCATGATGTTGTATTATTATGTAGTATGTAGTGTGGTCGTTGCCATGGCTGTGTTCTTGTTGTCATGATTATGACATTAGTTTATAAAACATGCAACACTTCAACATGGTTTTGTTCAGAGAAGTTACATGGTTATGCTGGCGGAGCTTTGAAGCCACTCTATCAGTGAACTCCTGTGGTGTATTACTGTCCTAATACTGCCCAAGCTCAGCTATTTGAAAGGAATAATGAGTTATAAATGCATGATTAAAACAAATGTCACTCCATTCTTCCTATCTCTTGTGTAGTGTTCCCATAAAGTGACATTGTATCATAATCCACTAAATTTCCCCTGCAAGAAATATTGCGAGGGAATGCAAAATTAGTTTCTAAAAATATTCCCAACATGATCTTTCAAGAGCTTCGTATGAAAGAGAGCAATACCCTTGATGATTTCATGAGACACTATATACAGTAGCGTAAACTAAATGCAAAAATTACGTTTGAATATGTTAAGGCGAGATTAAAAAGCAGCGTCAAGTCAAAATCAATAGACATTATGGCAAAGTGACTCATCACATGGAGGGTACATTTCTTATTAGTAAATATGCTTGACTTGACATGAATAATTAAAGCCAATGCATAGCCTGGATGCAAATGATTTGGCTAGGAGTGAAGCTACTTCATATCTGTCACTATGAATCATTTACACCAAAGACAAACTGCTATGTTTATTATACTTGAAGCAAGCTGCTATACTCATTACAGGAAATGCAATAGGAAATCCAATATAGTTCAGCTATAAAGTTTCCACACAGTTATTGCGGTGAGTGTTCGCAACAGGGATTTACGATGCTTGTAATGGATGGATGCCTTGCGGTGAGGTAAGAGAAATTATAAGGTGGCGATATGCATTTGTAATTACAGCCGGCCAACAATGCATCGGACTCCTTTCCTCCATTAGCTGATGTAAATATGTTTAGTGACTGACCTAGAACGATATGCAATGTTGAAAGTGCAACATGTTTTAACATTTAAAAATCTTTTTTGGGGAAGTTAGACTTGATAACACAAGTTCACATCAGAATAATTGCAATTAGTATAAGTGACTTCCTCTTCCCTACTTTGCATCCATAATTTAATTTAACTAAAAGTGTACAAGGACATCATATTAATAGGCATAATATGAATGCTTTAAAGGCTCCATGTAAGAGTAATGGAATAACGTGAAACGACAGTTTAGGAGGGGCTGGATCATTAACAATGCATCACTCTTCTGTGTTGTGTCAGTCAATACATCGGAGAACTCTATCCGTCCCTCTATTTTTAACTTGGCCAATACGCATTTACTCACTTCCATACATGCCTACAGAAGGCTGCCTGATACATGCAGCACTTTCTAGTTCTAGTATCCCTCCTTTGTATTCCATAAGTATGTGCAGCCCTGTTTTCTTATTACTACATGCGTTATTATCTTGGTCACCTTCAGTCACTGGTGATTTAAAAAAACACTCAACTACCCTGTCAGAACAAAACATGTATCCTTCCTCTCTTGACACATACACTGCTCCCTCACAACGTTTTCTAGGACCCTCTGAAAATTGCATCTGAAAAGGTAGGATGTGAAGGTGAATAATGAAAGCAATAAAGGAGCCACAGGTTTCCAACTACACGATCTAACATGTTTGTGATGTATCAAAAATTGTGTTCTTGGCAAAGTAATCTGTGATCAATGGGGTTTCTATATGCATAGCTTTGGGAAATGATCCCAGGAGAGGACCACGGTGGTGCTAAAACCCCTGAGGAAGTCAGTGAACAAGATGCTTTCAGTGGCTGTCCAAGTATGCAGAGAGAAGCAGGTGGTTGACAGCATCATCCTTCCCATTGTGGGCCTGATGTATGAAGGATCCGGCCTGCTGCCATTTAGAACCCTGGTGTGCCCATTCTTGGCCACTGGGTCCAGGCAGGATGTTTTTCACATGATCATCAGCACCCTCTGCAGCTGACAGGTTGGGAATGTGCTGGAAGCCCTCCCTGAGGAGGTTGGCAAAAACCTTCAAAACACTTGGCGTGATGGTTTATGGGCTTTCAGCTGTAACTCCATTCCACCATCCACTGATATTATAGGCTGCCCAGTGACAAGGTGGAGACTGGAGTACCTGTTGGTGACTCGGGCCATTTTCTTGAATTGAGGACAAAGACAGAGATTGTAATGTGGCAAACTTGCCAATATGTTATTAAAACATAGTCCTTTAACAAAGTCATTTTGAGAATGCAGTAACATTCAAATAAATCATAAAACAATTGCTAGCCTTCATTAGACATGAACATAAGACAAAATAGGGATTTTACTGTGGAGGAACTATTACAAATGCATATTCTGTATGACAGTGTACAGTAAGATAATGTTCTGTGTGTATCAAAGGGCTGGTATGTGGTTGCTTTGAGTTTTTAGTTTTTTTAATCTTGAACCTTTAATCTATTACATTATGTTATATTCACACCAAAGTTAGGTTTTATTTGAGAAAATAAAAAAAGCAAGAGCTGATTAGATCCAACCATTAATAGCTAGCCCTCACTCTTAAACCTTGGCCCCCTCCCCCGCTTCTATCTTCGGGAAAAGACGTAAGCCCTATGATAGCCCAACAAATTTAAAACATACATAGTGTAGGAATGACCCTGTCATGGTGCACTCTGGGCTTTCCCCTGAGAATCTGAAACACATTGAAACATAAATGTAGCATATGTTAAGAAAGGTGTGGGACTGTGAAGAATATGAGCTGGGACACGAGTCACGACACAAAGCCATGTGGGTATTGTAGTTGTCCATCGGGAGCATGTTTCCTTAATGCTTAACTTCTACTGACATGCTGCATTTGCTTAGTCTTCTACTGTCATGTTTCATTGTTTGTCTGTTTTCCTCACTGTGCACTATGACAGGGTTGCACTACAAAAATCTTGTTGGATACTTTGTACAATGACAATAAAGGCTTCCTATTCTAGGCTGGCTAGTTGTTGTAATGAGGGCGAGCAATGGGGGGTAGATACCAAGGTAGAAAAAGCCTATCTTGAAAAGAAAAAAATAAATATATGCCTCTCCCCAATTCTTTAAAAGGTATTTGATGTGCCTCCCCCGTTAGCAACACCCTTTTATCATATATAACAAGCAGTCCCTTATATGAAAATGTAGCGCTGTAGCCTAGGTTAGAACATGTGTGAAAGCAATAGACCACTTACCACCCACTCAAGCACGTAGGCAAAGTGCACAGACATGCAAACAGATGTGTTGAAAACAAATAAGTCCTCCATCTGATGCAAGGCTGCCTCACACAAGCAAACAAATAAACATGCTGCTCTTATTTCCAGTGCCATCAGGCCCTCTCGATGCGCACTCCATGGAAGAGCAAGGGCACATAGTGCGGCTCTTTGCAACACTTCAGAACAATCCTTTGCCATCCCTTGCACACAAATGTGGGTGTGCCCCTTTTCTGTCGTAGACTGTTGACATCTGCTCATTTTAAGACCACTTGAAGAAATATTTCACAGATCCCATTTCCATCACCTACAGAGAACCGTTGTTGTGTGTTTCATGTGGCACACTTTGCATATTTCGCATAGTGTTTTCTAATATTTCCTGCAGCGAATGTGGAAGTTCCTGGCAGTGCTGACACCATGGCACATTCACAGCAAGGCTCTTAAGCTGCAACTGCAGTAGGTGGTGACAGATGTGTGCAATGACCTATCAAGAACACTCCCACAGCTACATTTACTTTTCAGACTGCAATGAGAAATACAAGAGTGAGCAAGAGTGCTTTGGGCATGTGCAAGCCTCAGCACTAAGTTGGCTTGATGGACAGAAACAACAGAGCCATAAGTTGAGATGTATAATAGATGGCATCCTTACTGTGCATGCTTCGAGAAGCAACAATCAAAGTTAAACCTTTACATCATTTCAGAGAAGAAGTTTCCCTGAAATATCCTCTGTGGGATACATGTTCACAGCTGCTATTCTCACACTTGGAAAAGAAAATATCCCAAAATATAAAATGCCAAGTCATCACCGAGTAAATTCACATCTAATCCCTATCATGATCTAGAGGTCGTATTTCTACCCACCTCTCCCTAGGCATCTGGTGGTTGGGGTTGTGGTGACAACGGATGCTGAGGCCAAAGAGCTTGCGGGCAGTGCGCTGGATCTTGAGCCGCTGGATCTCCAGGGAACTCTGAAGGAGCCTGTAGCGAGCCTGAAGGTCCCAGTCACTGCCCCACAGGAGATGCACACTGCTGATGGGCAGGAAGTGAGTGGAGGGCAGCCTCTTCAGGAAGGACTTGAACTCATCTGGATGACAGAAAGTGATGAAGTGAGAGAGCAGATGGCAAAACACAGGATGGTGGTGAGACAGAAAAATGAGAGAAAAGTACAAGTTCAAAATTAATTTTCTGACTTGAAAGCTTGGAATCAGCAGAAGAAAGGGTGAATTCAATATGAAAGTTCTACTTGAAAATGTAATCAATTGATTTCACTTAATATGGATCTACTTCTTTTGTGGTTCTTACAAAAAAATAAATCTGAAGCAAACTTTTCAATATATTTTTTTGAATTACACTGACGTTTCCATGGCAAGACTTAGACTTTAATGCAGCTTTTTTGAAATAGCAAAATAAACTGAAAAATGTACACAAACAGTCTTATCTGTGAACCAACCATTGTGTTTTTATACACATGATTAAGTGTCAACAATATCGGAGAGTGCGTTTGCATTACAGAATACTTATTTGTTCAACCCTATTCCTGCTAAGCATCCTGGGTAGAATTTCAAACAAAGCAGCAACTGGATGTAATTGGTAGTGTTGACAGAAGTTAACAATTTGTGTGCATGCATTGTTTTGAATATAAAAGGGTTATCATTTAAAACTTTATCATCACATCATTTCACAAGTTAACCAATATGTCCAAAGTTTATTTTTTGGAACACTGCAAAAATATCCAGTAGGCTCTTTTTCAAGTAGGGACAATTTAAAGAATCACCAAAAAGAGTCAGTCCCGTTTTTTTAACGTGGCAATGGTCAGTGAGCACACAGAAACTCGACCAATCTTCTTGATGTATGTTTGGAGGTCTTTGGTTGGATTGCTTCAGTTGTGAGTATTTGCAGTGAATTGAAACTCTCGGTGCAGTAAACACCCTCTGACTGTGCTCCCACAAACTTACTGAAGAGCCTTGCTTCAACAAATATGTTCCCACCAGTGTCGCTTATTGCCCTTATGTTCGTCCTGCTGCTTCTGATAACTCACGGCTTGTCTCCTCCCCAGACAACCCGTGAGCCCAGCTCTCTGACCCTTGTTTTCAACTCTGGTTCCAATTTTTACTTACAATGGGCATGAGGATGCTTGTAAGACTCCAGCAGCAAATACACAAGTAGAAGGAATCTTTTATTTGGTGTGCTAATTAAGGAAATATGACTCAGAGTATAGCTCATTATTGTCTCCGAAGATAAATTCAAGCACATCATTATAAATAATCCAATGAACAGTTTTTTCAATTCCAGCATGTTGAAGAGAGTGCAGAAGTAGTCTAACACAAAGATGCCTCTACTCAGGGTACTGACAATCTAATCCAAATCTATGTATAAAACCCCTGGTCCAACCACATTTGTTTGGGGAGAAAAATGAATACACAGCATTAGGCGGAACTCTTAAAAGAAAAGATCCCCATATTCAATACCTGCAAAATAGACATTTGCGATAAGCCAGTGCTTTCCTACAGACGTCTTAGTCTAACAGCATTAACCACGGAGTTGAGACTCTCTTTCAGACACAGCTAAGAAATGTCAGAACTTCCTCCTCTCTCCTCCCAGGCATGTCAGAGCTCCTTTTCCCCTTTTCTTCAAAGAAGCCAGATTCCTTCTCCTCCCATGTTTCAAACTTGCCGTATTCCTCCACCCACTTTTCAGAAATGTCAGGTCACCTCCCTCGCCCTTTTCCTAGAAAAAGATGGTTGTCCCCAGCATCCAGCATTCAAAAATGTTTGATTCCCACACCAAAAGAATCCATTATCACATCATGCCAGTTCAACAGATGCCAAGTGCTTTCATACAGGCTTCAAAGCCACCAAGGATCTCTTCCTTGATACAGCTTCCAAAGAGTCCACATAGTCCCTCGCATGACTCTTATCTCAAGTCACCAAGCACCTTATCTAGAGATTACAGCTCTCAGAGTGTAACCCCACTTCATACCTCTTGTGCCATTACATCTCAATATGAAAGGTCCAAAATATATATAGAGATATTTCATTTTATTAATCTAATAGCATTTGGATAAATGATTGATACAGACACTAAGAAAGTTATTAATTGCCTTGCATTTTAATTTATAAGTCTTAATATAAACCTTTATTTTTGGCCTCTTCGTGTTGCACCCTTTCCAGACTCACTGCACTCAGCGACTGACATGCACTTTCTATGGTATATCAATATATTTATCTGCTGCTGGCAGGTTTTATTGGGACACTTTTAAATCATATCAATAATAGATTAACAAGGTGACTCGTCGCCATGTAGCAGCCGGGCAATAGCTGTGCTTTTATTTCTTTTACCACCGTGTCCAATATCTTACCCCCCCACTTTGGGTCTGCATTTGTATTCAATGAAAATAGATGCATTGGTTTAAGAGAGAATATTAGCTGCAATGACATTCAAAGATTTGACATCCTAAAGTTTACCTTTTCAATGAAATTTGTTCTGTATAAACACAAAATGACTAAGTAACAAAATGGGTTATTTGTAAGCTAGTGCATATACAGTAAGTGTTCTCCTGATCTGTAGCTTTTGTTTACAACAAACATCATGCTGTATTACATATTACATGAAACTAGTTGTTGATACCATAAATAAGTAAGAAGTGGGGTCATTGCTCATATCGTATATGTATATAGTATGTGTACGATATGAATCAAACGTTTTTGCAACCAGTTAAATTCCCCCCTTGCTTGGCATTTAAAAAAGTGCACTTTAAGGCATTTCTGAATTGGTTTCACTTTTCAAAAAAATAAGGTTGAAAATGAATCAGAATAAAAGAGGGTCATCGTTGGCCCATCGATGAACCTTGACCTTTTGTAGCACTATGACATTGTCACAGTACTTTCTGCAGTGAATGTAGGAATGTTCTATTAATTATGTAAATGTGGTATTGAACAAGGGCAGACTAAGCTGCAGAATTATAAAATGGGATTTTAAACGATCTTCAAGCAAAGAGAAAATTGCAAGGTTATGATATCACCTTAATTACCTGAGCTCTGCATGTACCCATACACAGAATAGGATAGCTGCATATCTCAGGAATGATTCCCTTGCCAAATAGTAAAACAGCTACACACTTCTCCTAAGCTGTCAAGGTAAATATAAGTTGGAAGAATTGTAAACTTACCTGAGTTCTCAAAGTCTTTGTAAGAAGAGGCCCAGGACTCAGACATCCCCAGCAGGCTATTCTCCATGATCTGGATGTCAGTGATGGGACAGTTGCACTGGGGATAATCGTCGGCGCACTGACAGATGCAATGGTTGTTACTGCACACGTACTCTCCCTCTCCATTGCACATGATGTAGCTCAGGGCTGACTGGACAAACTTCTCCTGCAGGTATTCTGGGAAAATGACCTGAAGACCTGACAGAAAAACAGAGACAAATGGGAGGTTTTAGTGCAACAGAATGTGTTTCATAAATGATCTATTATCGAATATGACATAAAGAACAAGAAAAAGCCTACAATCTCGCTTTCTTTTCAAGTATACAGTGAAATGAAAATATGTGAGGCAGGATTATTGTCAACGAATGATACCCATTTTGTCTTTGCATCAATGCAAATGTGTGAAAAGGTTAACACAGTATTAAAAAAGCGGCGGTGAAAGGGCGGACTGACCTTCCAGGATTGCTTTGTGTTATAAACACTCATTTATTTTTCTGAAGGGTGTGCTTCAAAGCTCGAATATGTTCAACTTGAGCTGTCTTTTCAGTGGTGGGTCACTCATGATGTGACAATGTATAACAGTGATTGATGCCTGCTCTCTTCTGCTGCGTTGGTTTCCTTAGCACAGATTGTTTAATACCCTTTGTGAGCATTTTTATTATACTCCTTGCTTTGTACAATACATGTTTCCATTTGTATTTGCCTGTGGTTTACATACCAAACGTTGCAGCATCCTGCTAATTATTTGCTAATAGCGATATCGGAATTTGTAGTCAAGAAGCCAATTTGGGGCTGAAGCTGAAAATACCTCGCCGCTGACAAGGTATTTATAATTTTCATACTACAAGCCAATCCGTATCTCACCCTGGGGATCTCATAGACGTGAACCCTGAAAAGCTAACAGTAAAGCCTTTTTCTTCAGTCCAGGCCCGTTGAAAATAAATCCTTAGCTATACAAGCCACTGAATTGGAAAATAACTAAATAGATTTATTTTCTCCTGTATGAAACAGAATCTTGGTGAGGCAATATTTTCTTAATAGGTTTTACTTGAGCACAAACAGTGTTTCAGCAGGAAATATGCAGCCAGGAACCAGAACATAACATGTTATTGAATGATGAATGATTCCATTATTTTTTCTGCTCACGTATTATTTTGACTTTCGGTGAAAATAGGAATCAATTCATGCAAAATTAACATAATGTAGCTGAAAGAAAGGGAAGAGTAAGCCTATAATTGAATACTCTACACAAGAATCATTTCCATGGCATTGTCATAGAATTGAATGGTATCTGGTATTATTCCAGTGCCAAAGTGTGCTCTTTATTTACACCCACAACATGCACTTTAACAGAAAACAGTGGGTGATTAAGAAGCATTAATGTCCTAATATGTGCCAAGATGGTTGGCTTTGCAACATAGGGCAACTTCATCCTGCATGAACAGTGACAGTCTCTAAAGAAAATAAAGTGGCTTTGGCCAATATCGAGCAATGTTTATACAATTCTAAATATTAATGCAAATATTCATACTCATACCAAGCTACAAGCCATGTTTTACTTGTCTTTAAATGCAGCACAATAACCCTACTCTTTATAATAAACCGTCTTCTTGTGTTCCCTTTTTAGTTATGAGTAGATTCCCTTCTCCTTTCTCCCTCTTTAGAACCGTTGCCCATCAGTGATGAAGGGAACAGCAGGAGGGAGGGAGTAAAGGGGATGGATGGATCATGTCTGACCACAAAAGAGTTGGGTTGCACAGGGCTTTTTCTCCATCAGGCCTGTCTGCGGCCCCTGGATCCAATATTCATTTAGCTTGATGTATTCCTGGGCTTGAAACTTTAATGTGATTTGTGGGAGAATCCAGATGGCAAGTTCACGGATCAACGCTGCTTACTGACAGTGCTGGTGCCAGCGGCCGGGTGCACAATAACACCGAGTGCCTCAGCCCTCCCCTCCTTCCCTCTGCCGTCTAACCATTCCCCCAACCCTACTATCAACACACACACCGACACACATTTTCTTCCTGTGACATCATCGTATTGGTACCGGGAGGTTGCAGAGGGATTGGTTGGGGATGCTGACATTCAGCTCGGCACTATCAGTCTTGCAATCTATTGTTTTCCACTCTCTTTTCTTCTCAATGTTTCTGTCTCTTCTCTTGCCAAACCTCTCACTCTTTAGCTCGTACTCCGTACACATCTCTTCCGTCTTACTTCATTACACTCACTCCTACTCTCACCATACTCATGCCCCTTGACTCGTCCCTCTTCATCCTTTGGCTCACATTCACTCCATCAATCACTCTCATCATTCCTGTTTCTTCACCTCTTTTGCTCTCCTCAACACTTTCCCACCCAGCACGCACTCAAGTATTGGAAATTCAACGTCTTGTCCTCCCACTCCAGTGTAGAAATGATGTCATGCAATAAAAACAAATCCATCCACATTTGTTAGTGCAGTGGGGAATGAGTAAGAGAATTGGAGCCCTCGGGCCCAAAATGAAATGAGAAACTAATCAGAGTAAAAAAACATTTATCTTTGTGAATATCCCGGCTTTGCTCTGGTAGTGCGGTACCATGTGAACACTTTGAAAATGATTGGGCTATAAAGCTACAGTTTATATGGCTCTTATGCAGGTGTTTGTTGAGTAAAAAAACAACACATTGGAGCAGGGAGTTACACTTTCCATCATTAAAGAGCTGCTGATGAAATAAATAGCTGGGTATTGGAATTCCCGTTCAGCCATTTGATAACCTCCAACTTCATGCTCTGTCAGTGCACATAATTCCCTGCAACCCCTATGCCTGGCTTGCTCTAAATAAATAGCACCTGAAAATGGCAAATAGATAATCTCTCTGCATACATCAAAGGCTGATATATTTCCTTCACGTACGTTGGAGGATATAGCCCCTCAAACCTTCCATGAATGCTAAAAATGGAGCCTGCAACTGTGACTTTGCCTTTTCATTATGTCTCTTTCTAGAGTGCTCTATTTTCCCATGGTGATAGATGGGGAGTGTAGTCCACAACTGAGGCTTGTAACAGCCTTGGCAAGCAGTTGCCCGCTTATTGCAATGCCACGCTCCGCCTCATAAGTTACAGTTTCATTAAAGATTAATTGACCATTGTGTGGCCGCAATTTCGCAAAATAATCATTACTTAATCCACTGGTGCAATAAAGTGCATTACTTGAATAGGGGCATTAAATTACCATTGGAGGTTATCGTTGCAGCCATGATACAAAACCAAAGACCTCTGAACTGGAAGATTGCCTGTTTCTCTTCAATCTGGGCCACCCTGCTGATCCCTAGACACTTAAAACAGAGGGGGCATACAGCTTTAAGATTTGCGGTATTGGCCCATTTCACACGCAAGCTCCACTCTCAGATGAATGAGGCAGAGGGGCATTTAAAGTTGCTTTTTATCCACTCATTCCGCCACATAAAGCACTTGAGTCTTATACAGCGTCTGTTGGGCCTGACAGAGGGTAACATGTTCCACTGGAGCTATTCTCAGATCTCAGAATATGTTTGCATTTTTTAAAGTTCTGAATGGGGTTTACTTAGCATTCAAATGGGTAATGTGTTGCTGTGTTGAGTAGATTATCGTAGATTATCATAAATGTTCCAAGCAGTCTCTAAGGCAGCAGCCCATTTTCCAACTGGACTGTTTACTCAGTGTTTTTTATACAATCTTAGTTAACTTTGTGGGAAAAATAGTTTAGGACCATGAAGTTCATATCTTCATGTCAAATGCATCCAAAGTGCAGCACAAACACTTTTTTTTTTCATCCCTGAGTGCTATACTTTGGGATTTATTTTACAGTACATAAGATTTAGGCATGCATATATTTTGAAAAAGCAAAACAACCGAGAAATGACAAATCCCATTTCCTAGAACTTATTAACATACAAGAGCCTGCATGTGAATATGTGATACACTCCGCTCTTTCTACATGGAACAAAAAGACACAATGTGCTCCTTACGATACCTCCAAATAGCGTTAGCTTTGAAGAAGCTCACTTATTCATATTGTTAGCACAAACTGCAAGAAAGAAAGCAGGTGCAGTAATTACTGTAAACGCATAAATTACATATAGAAATGGTCTTGGCATTCAGGCTTTCTGCTCCCGCCTCCTGAAAGAGGGATATGCTGAAATTGCATGTTGTAGCAATTGCTGGATTGAGAAGAGCGGGCAGTCTGGAGAGGAAGATGAGCTCTCCATGGCGCTGAGTTATTGCCAGGTGCGCAGCACTCTGGACACAGACATGCAAGATGAGTCAGAGAAAAGGTAAGTTAAAAAAAACGTGTTAGATGTATTCTAATTAGATGTGTGCAAGATCACAATAGGGTTCCTTTTTTCTTTCTGTTATAGGAACAATCTCCCATAAATGGTGCTAGTAGATTGTAGTAATTTTGGTTTTGAATCATACACACTGAATATTGTGTTTCAAGATGTGTGATGTGGTTGCTGTTGGCAGCCTGTGCTCTACAGTCAAGCTGCTTCCTCATGTGCTGCCATGTGTCCCCGCACAGCAGTAGCACTAAGGCCTCGGCTGGTAACTTATCATCATAGTGTCCCACTTTCAATTGCATGCACACACACACATAAACATACACATACAGGCACACCAACACACACGCTCTTGCAGAAATCACATGTTTTACAGGAACCCTGGAGAGGGGGAGGAGAGATGTTTGACAAGATTTGATGTTTCCATTCCAGCTATCAACGATACAACTGCCCTCAAAGTGTCAAGATATGCTGCACACACATCCCAGATCAAAAGCCCAGATTTATCTCAGAAAGTACATCAAACTTCCCTAAATAACAACAAGTAATGTTTATCTATTTGAAGGAACATGTTTGCTGTGCACTAATCTGCTGATTCATAAACAAACTCACAATAGTGAGCAAAAAACACACAAAATATATGTTTTGTGGGTTGCCTTTTTTCATTTAAATATCAAACTTTTTTAAGATCGTCAATCTAACACAGTATTATTGGTAACGCATAATGATTTAGCACTACATTATAATGCAAATGTATTAAAGTTTGTGACCAGCCCGTTGAAAAGCCATTATCAGTTTTTATCACTGCAATTCTAATGTCTAAGACGTGGCAAAAAGGGCTTCACACTCTGAAGTATCATCAGTCGTAATTACTTTTTAATTGTGTAAAACCATGGCCCACA